AGAGAGAGCGAGAGAAAGAGAGAGAGAAAAAGAGAAAGAGAGAGAGAGAGAAAGAGAGAGAGCGAATGAGAGAGAGAAAGATAAAGAAAGAGGAAGAGAGAGAGAGGGAGATAGAGAGAGGGTGGGAACGAGAAGAAGAGAGAGAGAGCGAGAGAGAGAGAGAGAAGGGAGAGAGGAAGGAGAGACGAGAGAGAGAGGATGGAAAGAGAGGGAGCAGGAAAAGTGAGAAAGAAGAGAGACATTTCGACGAGAGAGGGAGAGAGTGAGTGATCTGTGTGTGTGTGGTGTGGTGTGTGCATGTGTGTGTGCGTGCGTGCGTGCGTGCATGCGTGCGTGCGTGCGTGCGTGCGTGCGTGCGTGCGTGCGTGAGTGTATATATATATATATATTATATATATATCCACATATCTCCAATTACGCACGCCCCGTTGGGCACAACTCGGCAGTGCTGCCACCCAGCCAAGTAGCCAGTCTTTCATATTTAACCACATAAACTTGTATTTCTGCATCTCATACCTGAATGTTTTCAGCTGCATGCGACTCAGATGCAGACGAATCTACGTCTCCGATCAGCTGCGAAGTATTGCCTAATATGCGCGTACTCGGGCGGAGACACGTGCGCCCCCTAGAGGCCTTGGCATTTGCGTGCTTTTTGGCATTGTTCTCGGTTAGTGTGGTCTGGTACGGGCTGTCACGAGACCATCGCATCCGGTACGTACAACTTATTCACTAATTATAACTAATTATTATTATCATTATCATCATTATTATTATATAAAGTATAATTGTATACGCGAGTGTGTAAATTAATTACAAAAAAATAATGTTTTTCTGACTCCTCTTAAACAAAAAAATTGCTTCGTGGTTCAAAATGGTTTAATGATTCTAACTCGCTGTATTTGCTCATTAAATACAAATTTTCATAATTCTTATCGAGACTTCTTTGTCTCTGCCTTTCAGGCCTTCCACGTCACCCAATGACGTCGCAACACCGGCCACCTGGCGGCAGGGTGACCCCACAACACGCGCCATCTGGCGGCAGCACGAGGCGCCACAACACGTGCACGCAGACGATGCTGCGAACACTACAGCGGTGGCGCTGTCGATGCGAAACGTCGTGTTTCTCAAGATGGTGAAATGCGCCAGCAGCAGCGTACAGAACGTTCTCATGCGCTATGGCTACGCGCACAACCTCACGTTTGCCCTGCCGCGCACCGGCTGGCACTTTGGCTTCCGTCGGTTCAACCCGAAGCGCGCTCTACGGCCGCCAGGGGGCGTCTTCAACATGTTCTGCCATCACGCGCGCTTCGACTACGCTCTCGTCGCGCGCATGATGCCGGCAGACTCGGTCTACGTGTCCATCGTACGGCAGCCGGGCACCATGTTTGAGTCACTGTACACGTACTTGCAGTACGAGCGCGAGACTGGCGCCACCTACGAGGAGTTCGTGCGCGAGCCGCGGCGCTACTATCGCGCCGACAGGCAGCAGCGCGTGCTGGCGCGCAACCCGATGTCGTATCTGTTCGGACTCGAACCGGAAGACTTCGACCGACCGTCGGCGACGACCGCCTTCCTCGCCGACGTGCGCCGACGCTTCGATTACGTCATGATCTACGAACGCTTCGACGAGTCGCTCGTGCTACTGCGCGCGCTGCTCGGCTGGGCGTGGCGTGACGTCATCGTTTTCCGCGTCAACAGCAGACGCGCGTCGGCGCGCACGCAAAACGGCGACGAGCTGCGCCGCCTCGCCGAAGCTTGGAACGACGCCGACGCGCGCCTCTACGACGCCTTCCTCGACGACTTTCGCCGACGCGTCGAAGCGTACGGCGCCGACCGCATGGCGAGTGACGTCACGCGGCTGCGGAGCATGCGCGAGCGGCGCTACGGGCAGTGCGTGGCGGGGATGGCGGAGGTGGCGCCGCTGCCGGGACTGTCGTACAGGCTGAGAGCGGGAGCCGATGCGGGTTGCGGGAGGCTGGTAAGAAGCGAGCCCGCTTTCACCGAGGACATCAAACATAAGCTGTGGCCAGATGTCGAATTCATCGACGTTATCAAACGCTACTACATGAAGAGCAATGAAACAACGTAGCAATGTTGTGTGCGTGCGTGCGTGCGTGCGTGCACGTGCAAGCGTGCGCATATGTGTGTGTGCGTGTACGAGTGTACTAATGTATGTGCGTGTGTGTGCGTGTGTGAATTCGTGTGTGTTTGTGTGTTTGTGTATGTGTGCGTGCGTGCGTGCGTGCGTGCGTGCGTGCGTGCGTGTGTGCGTGCGTGGGCGCACCTGTGTATGTAGGTATGTGTGCGTATAATGAGCGCGTGTGTGTGTGCGTGTGCGAGTTTACTAATTAATGTGCGTGCGTGCGCGCGCGTGTGTGTGCATGTGCGTGGTGTGTGTGTATGTGTGCGTGTGTGTGTGTGTGCATTCGTGTGTGTTTATGTGCAATATGT